GCTGATGGACGACAAGTCAAAGAGGTGATGGTAAAACAGCTGATGGAAAACAGGTCAAAGAGGTGATGGTAAAACAGCTGATGGAAGACAGGTCAAAGAGGTGATGGTAAAACAGCTGATGGAAGACAGGTTAAAGAGGGGGATATAAGACAGCTGATGGACGACAGGTCAAAGAGGTGATGGTAAAACAGCTGATGGAAGACAGGTCAAAGAGGGGGATATAAGACACCTGATGGACGACAGGTCAAAGAGGCGATGGTAAAACAGCTGATGGAAGACAGGTTAAAGATTTGGATATAAGACAGCTGATGGACGACAGGTCATAGAGGGGGACGTAAGACAACTCATGAAAGACAGGTCAAAGAGGTGGATATAAGACAGCTGATGGAAGACAGGTCAAAGAGGGGGATGTAAGACAGCTGATGGAAGACAGGTGAAAGAGGGAAATGTAAGACAGCTGATGGACGACAGGTCAAAGAGGTGGATGTTAGACAACTGATGGAAGACAGGTCAAAGAGGTGATGGTAAAACAGCTGATGGAAGACAGGTCAAAGAGGTGGATATAAGACAGCTGATGAAAGACAGGTCAAAGAGGTGGATGTAAGACAGCTGATGGACGACAGGTCAAAGAGGTGGACATAAGACAGCTGATGGACGACAGGTCAAAGAGGTGGACATAAGACAGCTGATGGAAGACAGGTCAAAGAGGTGATGGTAAAACAGCTGATGGAAGACAGGTCAAAGAGGTGATGGTAAAACAGCTGATGGAAGACAGGTCAAAGAGGTGATGGTAAAACAGCTGATGGAAGACAGGTCAAAGAGGGGGACGTAAGACAACTGACGGAAGACAGGTCAAAGAGGTGGACATAAGACAGCTGATGAAAGACAGGTCAAAGAGGTGGACATAAGACAGCTGATGGAAGACAGGTCAAAGAGGTGGACATAAGACAGCTGATGGACGACAGGTCAAAGAGGTGGACATAAGACAGCTGATGGAAGACAGGTCAAAGAGGTGATGGTTAAACAGCTGATGGAAGACAGGTCAAAGAGGGGGATATAAGACAGCTGATGGACGACAGGTCAAAGAGGTGATGGTAAAACAGCTGATGTAAGACAGGTTAAAGAGGTGGATATAAGACAGCTGATGGACGGCAGGTCAAAGAGGGGGTTGTAAGACAACTCATGGAAAACAGGTCAAAGAGGTGATGGTAAAACAGCTGATGGAAGACAGGCCAAAGAGGTGATTGTAAAACAGCTGATGGAAGACAGGTCAAAGAGGTGATGGTAAAACAGCTGATGGAAGACAGGTCAAAGAGGTGATGGTAAAACAGCTGATGGAAGACAGGTTAAAGAGGTGATGGTAAAACAGCTGATGGAAGACAGGCCAAAGAGGTGATGGTAAAACAGCTGATGGAAGACAGGTCAAAGAGGGGGACGTAAGACAACTGACGGAAGACAGGTCAAAGAGGTGGACATAAGACAGCTGATGAAAGACAGGTCAAAGAGGTGGACATAAGACAGCTGATGGAAGACAGGTCAAAGAGGTGGACATAAGACAGCTGATGGACGACAGGTCAAAGAGGTGGACATAAGACAGCTGATGGAAGACAGGTCAAAGAGGTGATGGTTAAACAGCTGATGGAAGACAGGTCAAAGAGGGGGATATAAGACAGCTGATGGACGACAGGTCAAAGAGGTGATGGTTAAACAGCTGATGTAAGACAGGTTAAAGAGGTGGATATACGACAGCTGATGGACGGCAGGTCAAAGAGGGGGTTGTAAGACAACTCATGGAAGACAGGTCAAAGAGGTGATGGTAAAACAGCTGATGGAAGACAGGCCAAAGAGGTGATTGTAAAACAGCTGATGGAAGACAGGTCAAAGAGGTGATGGTAAAACAGCTGATGGAAGACAGGTCAAAGAGGTGATGGTAAAACAGCTGATGGAAGACAGGTTAAAGAGGTGATGGTAAAACAGCTGATGGAAGACAGGCCAAAGAGGTGATGGTAAAACAGCTGATGGAAGACAGGTCAAAGAGGTGATGGTAAAACAGCTGATGGACGACAGGTCAAAGAGGTGATGGTAAAACAGCTGATGGAAGACAGGTCAAAGAGGGGGATGTAAGACAACTCAAGCTGAAGCCTCATCTGAGGTAGAATTGTGGGAACAGGATGTCATAGACCTTGTCACATGGAGAGGGGGAGGGGGGTGGGGGAATCAGGAAGCGCACAGGTATCAAGGAGGAAATGTTTGCAGACAGGTCAAGACCTGAGAGTCTGAGAAGAAACACATTAAATACAAGCCATGGAAATAAGGTCCTGGCATGCTCTTGTTGGGGAACGAGACTTGCTGGTCACCTGTGCTGTCACCAGGGGCTGCCATTTCCGCACCTCCATATAGCACAATACAAAACTGGCAACATGCAAAAGTGCCAATAAAGCTGCATTCTACATGACAAAGAATTGTGTTAATGCCTCATATGTGAAGTAATGAGAGTGAGAGTCTTCTTGTGAGACAAATATAGTTAGACCAGTAAATATACTTAGACCTAATGCATGGTGATAAATCAACAGCTGTGGGATTATAGAGGAGTTTCTTGCAGGCTGATGGGATGTGGTTCCATAGACTAATGCTAAGAACATCAGGAAAGATTAAAAATAGTTGAAGATATCTTCACAACAACAAAAACAAAGACTCACAAACAGAACTGATAACTAGTATCACAAGCAGATAAAATATTATCTGGATGTGTCATAGGAGAGGTAAACAAGACAGCAGGCTGAGAGATTAGTTGTCTGTGCAGTGAGCTGCTTTATGATCGGTTGATTTGGTGCAGGCTCTGTAGTATTAGGTAGGCAGGCTAGCAGAACAAAGTATCCATACACAGCCAGACCAAGTCTGTAGAAAGTGAACAGAGGGGGTTGATGACTCTCAGTCCACAATTTAAAAAAAAGACATTCTTGTAATCAGGTTGCCAGTGACACCTGCAGCATGTGCACATTGAAACAAAGAAAACATAAACCAACACGCCAGCCACATGGTAATCTTGTTAATCTTAGTTTCAGCTTCACAGCTAACGAGTCACCCATAGTTGCTCCGCTCTTGTGCCAACGAAAAACACAAAGACAAACAGGAAAGATTGACAGACTGCTGTCTCAGCATATGCACTAGCATACACACACATTAAAAGCATACGGTAGCCACCAGAAGTGCTAACACAAACAGTTTGACATTAGAAATGCAGTTCATCATTGACGGTAGCAGAAGTCGCCAACAGATCAGCAGTTGCGCACCTGATCAATATTAATCACATAAGGGCACCAGCAATATTGCTGTGACAAGCCACGCGCCATTTTCTGAATCTACAGTTCACAACACCACCTTGGTCACAGTCGAAAAACATTCCAAATGAAATCTGCAGCTCACAGGATCGTGCCATGCACTCAACTCAGTAGCTAGCGCGATGAAACTGTGCCAGCCACATGCTTTATAACTGCATTCCTTGCTGGCTCACTGCGAGTATACAAGTGATCAAATCTCCTGGCCCCTTCAATGTGGCACACACAAACACACACTTGGCCAGGAAATCGCCAGGCTCACTCTGCACCAGAAGACTGGCTCACTGCGAGTATACAAGTGATCAAATCTCCTGGCTCCTTCAATGTGGCACACACAAACACACACTTGGCCAGGAAATCGCCAGGCTCACTCTACACCAGAAGACTGGCTCACTGCGAGTATACAAGTGATCAAATCTCCTGGCCCTGTCAATGTGGCACACACAAACACACACTTGGCCAGGAAATCGCCAGGCTCACTCTACACCAGAAGACTGGCTCACTGCGAGTATACAAGTGATCAAATCTCCTGGCTCCTTCAATGTGGCACACACAAACACACACTTGGCCAGGAAATCGCCAGGCTCACTCTGCACCAGAAGACTGGCTCACTGCGAGTATACAAGTGATCAAATCTCCTGGCTCCTTCAATGTGGCACACACAAACACACACTTGGCCAGGAAATCGCCAGGCTCACTCTACACCAGAAGACTGGCTCACTGCGAGTATACAAGTGATCAAATCTCCTGGCCCTGTCAATGTGGCACACACAAACACACACTTGGCCAGGAAATCGCCAGGCTCACTCTACACCAGAAGACTGGCTCACTGCGAGTATACAAGTGATCAAATCTCCTGGCTCCTTCAATGTGGCACACACAAACACACACTTGGCCAGGAAATCGCCAGGCTCACTCTGCACCAGAAGACTGGCTCACTGCGAGTATACAAGTGATCAAATCTCCTGGCTCCTTCAATGTGGCACACACAAACACACACTTGGCCAGGAAATCGCCAGGCTCACTCTACACCAGAAGACTGGCTCACTGCGAGTATACAAGTGATCAAATCTCCTGGCCCTGTCAATGTGGCACACACAACACACACACTTGGCCAGGAAATCGCCAGGCTCACTCTGCACCAGAAGACTGGCTCACTGCGAGTATACAAGTGATCAAATCTCCTGGCCCTGTCAATGTGGCACACACAAACACACACTTGGCCAGGAAATCGCCAGGCTCACTCTGCACCAGAAGACTGGCTCACTGCGAGTATACAAGTGATCAAATCTCCTGGCCCTGTCAATGTGGCACACACAAACACACACTTGGCCAGGAAATCGCCAGGCTCACTCTACACCAGAAGACTGGCTCACATTGGTCTCCAACATTCTCTGCCTCCTGCTCTGTTTGTATTCTCTAACAGACTGTTATCTCTTCCCAATTGTATCACTGTTTACTGCTCAATCATTAACCTTCAGCTATTCCTTTTACTATAGTTTTTAAAATGGTTAATATCTGTTTTCTTTTTTAGAAAAATACACACACAAACTGGTCTTTACAGATATGTGTTTGTGTTATCAAAGAAAAGAATACAATTCCGGATATCAATGGACACACGACAACCACATTCTTATGAAACCATATAAACACAGGAATAATTCATAAACAATTCTTGTTATTGTTCTTCTTGCCACTAAACAGATGGTTGAGGTAGACCTCTTGCTGCTTCTCTACATTAGCCTCCAAAACCATCTGCTTCAACTTAACTGTCTGGTTCTGCTGCTTCTTCTGCAGAGCCTCAATCTCAACTTGCTGCTGTGCAATCTGGCTCTTCTGTTCTTCACATAGCCAGCTTTTCTCTGCAAATAAATTTCAATGTAAATTAAAACAGTGTGCCAGATACTGAAATAGTAAACTTATGACGGTGTACAAGTATGAAAATTGTAAACTTTTGAAAGTGTACAAGATATTCAGACTACAAGCAGTTACTTGACAAATGACTTAACAGTGTAATGATGTATTTGGCACTCACATATCATCCCATCCCTGCTGGTAATCTTCCAACTCATTCCTAACACTTGTGAGGATGACTCAAAATCATTATATGTGCCTCTA